AGATAGTGTGCTGCCCTCGGGGGAGCCACATGGCGCAGGGAACATACCGTTAAGAACGCCGTCCATTTTGACTCCTTGAAAACTCGGTCCGTGAGGAAAGCCTTGATCCACTTCAGGGTTTGGTGATCGACCTGGAGAGCACGGAGTTTGTGTAGAAGTGAATCATGATTGAGGAGATCGAAGGCGCTTTTTTGGTCAAAGTAGATGCAAAGTATAGGGATAGATTCGTTGAGACAAGTAGCCCACCGCTGACACATGTAGAGGAGCTGGGTGCAAGTTGATCTGTCCTTACGAAACCCGTGCTGGTATTGATCGAGGAGGTTATTCCGCGTGAGGAAGTCTGTGAGATGTTGAGCGATCAATTTTACCATCACTTTGCACGCAATTGAGCCTTGGGCTATCGGTCTGTAGTTGGTAGGATTAGATTTGTTGCCTTTTTTGTAGATGGGTGTTACTATGCTTCTACGGAAGAACTCAGGGACCTCTCCGTCATGATAGGATCGCTCGAGTATTAGGGTAAGGGGCTCGGCCAGGAAAATTGCAAATTTTTTGAGGAAGATTGAGGGAATATTTTCAGGCGTGGTTTGTGATTTTCCGTCGAGATGGCTGAGAAGGTTGTATACGTCGTACTCGGAGAACCGAAGTCGGGTGGATGGGTATGTGGGATTGGGAGCGGGAGTAGATGTTTGAGGGGGTAGAGGAGTCGGGTCGAAGATAGATGCGAAATGTTGTCCGAGGAGATCGGCCTTATCGCGAGCCTCCACGGAAACCTTGCTTGATGATCGGAGAGTATTAGAAGCATCACTAAGAGCGTAGAGAACACTCTCGCGCACAGTGAAAACGATCGCGTGGCGCGGGATGGACGAGATGAGGGGAGGGTCATGACGACACTCCCTTGATACAGATCGTCAAACTCGAGATCGATGGATTGATACGACATGATTAAATCTGGAGAGTGGAAAACTCTCTGTCTGAACTGAACTGACAGACTCAGACGTCGTCGATTGATCGAATGAAAGTAATGGGAATTGTTAGGTTCTTGGCCTAACCTATCAATTGAAAGAATACGCTGCGGATTCTCGACTAGTCACCAACGAGTCGTGGACGTACTGACATGACATTTATTGTAGAGTGTCGCATTGGATGGACATAGCATCAGTCGGATATTGAAGCGCGCTATCGCGCTGACTATTAGTTCTAACTATCGATTCCGTTGGGTTCAGACACCTAACAGGAATGGTATAGTAGAGAGAGTTTAGCATTACGCATGTCGTAAATACTCATTCAGTAGCATTTCAGGAATCGAATAAAATGTTTATATACAGGAATGTAGGGTATCACCGGGCCTGTGACGAACGGACTAGGTCCATTGCGCATGCACTACACTCACAGCACACTATCCTTCCCAACAGATTCTAGTTTCCATTCAACTACTTACTCAGAGAGACCAGAGAGACTTATTGGGGAACTTCGGATCAAGGATCCCTATTTATTCATGTCCTATTAATCAGTGTACAATATAATCATTATCAATCTCGATTATATCTCAAGGAGAGATAAGAATAAACTCCTAGGAAGTCGGGCGCACTCAGATAGCAAACACACACTCGGCGCAGCACGGATCGATCATACGGGTTCTCCCGCTCACGACGCCACCGTCAACTGTCAAGCAACCGGCCGGCGGAAACATCGAGCCGTCATCACACACACACACAATCTGTCAGAGATCGAGAGTAGCGATCCACGGATCGCCTACATCAAAATCTCAGAATCATCATTCCCAAGGGGTTCGAACCCCCAGTGCAGTGAAGTTAGCGGCTAAGCCAGGGATCAGATCCGCTAGTTAGCCCGACGAACATTTACGCATAGTGCGCCCACTTCCGGATTTCTCTACTTGAATTCTTCAGCGTCTTCATTTAGTGTTCGTCTAGGACAGTGCGCCACATTTTGGTGTCAGAAGAGCCTGAAAACCCGCGCTCGAGAGCTCAGAACTCTCGACCGGTCATCCTACATCCAGAGTGAGAAGCTCGAAAGAGCAATTCATCAACTTCAACCAGAAAAATCATCGAGTGGTTTCAAGGGCAAGGCCCCAAGCCGAGGAGTCGAGAGTCTCTTTAAAACTCAGCTCGGAAAACCCAACACCTCCGTTCGATTAAATCCACTCCAGAGCGCCAGGCGACACAGGAAAACAGGCAAAGTGCTACATCGATCATCGAAAAGCAAGTGCCGAATTCCGAATCGCCGGCTAGGCCTAATCTCTCCTCTGCTGACCTAGACAGTCCAAGCCCTCCACCGATATCGGAATGAGCAACTCGTTCGATAGGGAAAACACCGAATTCCTTCAGAATCAATTCCGAACCTTAAGGGTAGACTACGAACCGGTAGACAGCGAAGAGGAAGAGATCATCCGCCGCGCTCAGAGCGCCCTCCCCACGAGACCCCTAACTCCGACGGGAGCAGCTCAAACCATCCAAGGGGAACCAGTAATTCCTCCTCGGGAAAGTCCACCTCCGCTTGAACCCGCAGACCAGGTCGACCCCGAACCTCACATGTCACAACCACCGTCAGCCATATCGCCAGAAGAAGCAAAGCTGAACTTCCTGAGGACTCGGATAGACTTCTACCGAGAAGCGGCGGGCACCTTCCACAACGAGGAAGACAACCCGAGTGACGCCCTCACGGAGACGGACCGACTAAAAGAGATACTCACCAGGCTCTTAAGTCAATGGATCCAATCCTCGGAGGCGTACATAGAATCCGCGCCCATTACACCTACGGAGGTCTGCAGATCATTCGTCGAAACAGAGAACATGATCAGCAGATCACTGGCATACCTCAAGAGCCTAAGAGTATCAATCGTGGCTGAGATCAGGACCTCGACGGAATCCACGTTCGACACGATCCAGGATCCTCCACCAACCACAGCTCCCAGGGAACGCTCAAGTTCCAGCAACAGCACCCAACGTTCAAGCGGAGGGAGGTCCTTGGCGCACATCGACCCAAGTCGAGGAAGCCCGAGGGGCGCATTCAGGGCATCCAACACCACCCACGGCTACCCCGCATATATCACACATTGCACAAATGCCCCCTCCGGAAATGACCCCCAGCATGGGCGATCCAGGATCTCCGGATCGACCTCCTCCCAGACCGAATAACCAACCTCAAATAACGGTCAAAGAAAACGACACTACGACGGGAAGTCCAGAGAACCCGGATAACTACCTACCGAAACTCAGCAAAAATTTTACGCTACCGAGATTCAACGGCGATACCAAGCAATACCGAGGGTTCATGGACACATTCGACGCTTTCGTCCACGTGAGATCGATCCCAAAGCTCCAGAAGATCATCCTCCTCGAAGACGCTCTGTCAGGCAGAGCCCTCAACGCCGTGAGACACCTCAATCTGCGAGCAGAAAACTACGAACCTATGAAAGCGCTCCTCGAGGAGGAATTCGGTCGGACAAACTGCGCTGTGGACGCTCACATCCATGAAATGGAGAGGATCCTGTCAACCGGAGGAGAGATCACGCTCGATAAGTTACCCAATGTTGTCAATTTGGTCTCTCAACACGTTCACGCTCTCATCGCACTAGGCAGCACATACACCTCTCTGTCCCTATTCTCCGACCGACGGGTGGTCGAGTGGTTAGCGCGTTTGTCACTTCTCGTGCAAACGTGCATAGCCGCAACGACGCCGCTCGCGCGGGAGGCGGTGTGGGTTCGATCCCTGCTGCCGGAAAAATATGCAGGTACTCGGCCTTGATCCTCCTGGGTACATTTGCTCTATGGATCCGTCCTCGGAAGCAATGTGAATAACAGTACCCGGGACGTTAAACCTTGGCTGTGTGGATCAGCCCGAAAAAGTTTTGTCCCTATTCTCCAACAGGTTACTAACAACACACAGCGCAAGTTCCTGGAAACCTCCAGTCCCCTTCCCCACAGCACAGACTACCTCGAGGTCCTCATCAGGTTCATGAAAGCAGAAGCACGCAGGACGGGGGAGCTCCGAGCGAAACAAGGGTCAGCGAGGAAACAATTCTCGAACACCCCAATCGCTAAGAGCAACCACCAAGCGCAGAGCAGACCGAGCCCCAGCGGAACCTACCGCCCCAGGAATCCATTCTACAGGGGAAAACCCAATCAGGAAGGGTCGGAGTCCCTCTCATACAAGAACCCCTCCAATAGCTTCCACATCAACTCGACCACATCAAGGATCCCGAGCTGTCCAGTCCCAAACACCCCGAAGCCATCACAGGCTACCCCATGCTTCTTCTGCCAGGCAGACCATCCCCCGTACAAGTGCACCGCTCAGCTCACCCATCAAGAGCGCATGGAGAGAGTCGCCGCGGCGGGAGCGTGTCTACGCTGCCTCAAACTCAACCACCTGGCAAAGAACTGTAAGGAAGGACCGAAAACCAGTTGTCGCTTCTGCAACTCTACGCACTGCGCGATCATCTGTAGCAAGGCTCCCATCCAGCAGAATCTACCTCCGACGAAGCACACCTCGGTAAACCTAAACAACGATCCGGACGAGGAACAAGTATATCTCTGGACAGCCCACGTGATCGCTGATGAGACCAAAACACAGAGCCACATCTGTAGAATCCTCATCGATCCAGGATCGGAATCCTCCAATATCACCGAAGCAATGTCAAGGAAGCTCAACTCCTTCCCGTCATCTCGGGTCAAGAAGACCATGTCAACAGCTGGAGGCCAGGTCTCGAATATCCACAACTGTGGCATACACGATTTTATCCTTCGAAGCAGATTCGACCCGGAAAAAATCCTTCAGCTCAAAGCAATCGAACTCAAATGCATCTCTCGTTCCAAATTCCCCATCATGAATCAAAACTTCGGTCTTCATCCAGCAGCCGATCAGGTGGGCGACAAGGGAACGGAATGGGTCGATATACTCTTAGGAGCGAAAAACCTCTCCAAGCTAGGCTTCACCAACCCAAAATCATTCGGCAATATCTTCGCCTTAGAATCCATTTTCGGCTGGGTATTCGGTGGAAGCGCAGGATCATCCAGGATGCATAGCCCACTCAACAGATTCTGCGGCTTTGTATCAGCACAACCGTGTACACCCCGAGCCCAGAGCAAACAATCAGGAACACCAGCGAGCAACCCATCTCCGGACAAAACCGACGACCCTTCAGGGAACCGGCAATCAACCAAAGATGACATAGACTGCCTTTGGCTTTCGGAAGATCTAAGATTGGAGGATGACCCATCAAACGAGCAGACGGAGGGAGAAGACGCCCTCAACAAGGCCCTCATAGAACACTTCGAAAAGACCACCACCAGAGATCGGTCGGGAAGATACATACTCAGACTTCCCTTCCGTGACAACATCCATGCTCTAGGAGACAACGAGAACCTGGCTAGATACAGGCTATTCTCATTCCTGAAGAAACTCAAGGACGACCCTGTAAAGCTCAGAGCAGTAGATGAAGAAATAAGAGCATACATCGATGCCGGGTTCGCCGAGAAAGCAGAACCAAGGGAAGATGGTCAGCTAGCTCACTATCTCCCCATCCAAGCCGTCTTCAAGCACAACCCAGATACCCCCTCGGGACTGAAGACCAGAGTCGTCAAGGATGCTAGCGCTAGGCGGTCCATCGAAGCAGGATTGAATGATGTACTCCATCAGGGGCCGAACCTCCTTCCAAACCTGATCAAAGTCATCATGAAATTGCGGCGGAGGATCGCACATTCTTGCGATTCCTCTGGCCCCTCGGCATATCATCAAACGGCATGGCCAGGACTCAAGAATTCTGGGCGACCAGGCTGGACTTCGGTCTAGTCTGCTCCCCATTACTTCACTGCCAAGGGCTTCGTTCTCACCTTAAACGCGCCCAATCACAACACCCGAAGTTCAAGGAATTCATCCGAGAAACCATTGACTGTTTCTCTATGGACGATATACCGTGTGGATCAGACAACATCAGGATGCGAAGATCAAAACCACACTGCTTTTCAAGATCTTCGAGGAGGCCCGAATGCCGCTGAAGAAGTGGTCAACCAACGAACCGGAACTCGGCCTCTACATTAAGGATACCTCACCGGTCAAGGACCCATCCATTTCCTGCAATCTTCCATCCATCGGAATCCCATGGAATCAGTCTGCGGACACCCTGTCAGTCCCAGTGTCGAAAGCAGTCAAGGAACTCGAACCCGGATCACCTTCTAAGAGAAAACTACTTAGAGGGTTAGCTCAAATATTCGACCCACTGGGGATAATGGGACCCATGACTATAAACTCCAACATATTGCTGCAGAAACTCTGGAAGCAGAAACTAGGTTGGGACTCACCTCTGGAAGGAAACCTATCGGAATTCACCGACTTCAGAGACCTACTCACCCAGGGCGAGGTGTCCATCAAAAGACATTTCCTATCGCCGATCCTTCCGAAGCCGCGGAGACAACTACACATATTCTCAGACGCGAGCCTCGCTGCTTACGGATGCGTCATTTATCTTTGGGAAATCTTCAATGAAAACACGATAAAAACGCATTTCATGATAGCAAAGGCAAAAGTGAGTCCGGTCAGGCCGACTACCATCCATCGACTTGAACTACTCGGAGCTCTCCTCGCAGCTAGGCTAACCAATTCGCTACTCAACCTCATGGACGTCGAGACGGATTCCATCCACCCTTACACAGATAACTCAAGTGTACTGGGCTGGGTTAAATCCAAGCCAGAGAGATGGAAACCCTACGTCGCAAACAGAATCCGCCGGTCAGGCCGACTGGAAATACGTGAAATCAGAAGAAAACCCGGCGGATCTCATCTCTCGTGGCGCGAACATCTCGACGGGTCACAACAAAACATTGTGGCTAGAGGGACCACATTGGCTTAGCAGCTCAGCGCGAATCACCTCCGCGCTCCCTCCGAATGATCTCAACAGAGACCTAGATGGAAAACAATTCGATTCAGAACGGAGACAGAACATCTCATGCATGCTTTCGTCATCCAAGCCGAACGACAACCAACGGATTTTCTTCGAGGACAGATTTTCATCCTGGCTCAAAGCAGTCCGCTTCTGGGCTCTCATGCAGCGTTTGATTCGGAACGCTCAAGGAGCAAGGGATAGGGTTTCGCAGGGGATCTCATTTCGGGCGACACCATCACAAAGCAAAGACATCTCTTTCGACCCGAGTGAACTGATCTCAGCTAGGCTGTCGCTCATCCAAATGATCCAAAAATCATACTTCAAGGAAGAATTCGAAAGCGACTGCAAGGCAGTCAAACGCAATAGCGTCATCTACCAGTACAATCCTTTCCTCGACGAAAACGGCATCATACGCTGTAAATCACGCTTAGAGCGATCCCCTCATTTGTCTGGCGATCAGAAATTCCCAATCATATTGCCAGGCAACTGCAATCTATCCAAACTCATAGTCCAGGACATCCATGAGCGTCGATGCTACCGTTTCGGTGGAATGAACATGGTTCTTCAGCTACTGCGCGAGGACTTCCTATTGATCCACGCCAGAAAGATAACTCGCCATGTGCTCAACTCCTGCGCGACTTGCAAAATCTTTCACAGCGAGGCTGCCAACTCACCGACACCTCCGCTACCCCCCTTCCGACTCGGAGAAGCACCCCCATTCTTCCACACGGGATGCGACTTCATGGGCCCAATCAGGTACAAGAAGGATTCCGGCGAGGTCGGGAAAAGCTACATCCTACTCATGACCTGCGCAGTCAGCGAGGCAATACACCTCGAGCTGACATTGGACCTATCCACCGTCGAAGTCCTAGGGGCACTACAGAAATTCATCAATAGATTTCCCGTGGTCCAGACCATCACCTCCGACAACGGTCTCTCCTTTCAAAGAGCCGCAAAAGAGCTGAAACTTATCTACGAACTCATCAAGGATGGGGAAATCAAACGCTGGCCGGCCAATTCATTCATCGAATGGGGCTTTCAAACAGCGGCAGCCCCATGGTTCGGAGCATTTTTCGAGAGACAGGTCCAAACCGTCAAAAGACCACTCCGAAAAATTCTCGGCTCGGCCATCCCACACTTTCGTGACCTAGAAA